ACATGAATCAGGCAATTCACATTCTGTTTGTTACATCAAATCAATTTAAAATTACACGCTGCCTGAGCATCTAAGATTGCATGCAGCTTGCTGTGAAACTCGAAAACACCTAGCAGAGCACCTCCCACTTGTATCTGTCGGCAAACTCAAACTTCAAGAAGATATCGTGCAGTAATCCCTGGAATAAGGTCGCTGTCACTCTGCGAGCCATACATCCAGGTCAGAGCAAAGTCTTGCTTACATCTGGCCAAGAGCTAGCAGGCTCACCTGCTGCTCGAGGTGCAAACCCCAACCGAAACTACTCCTGCTGCTGAGACATAGATTGCTTCTTTCTCCTCAACATGCCCCTATTTTCAAAAAACTTAAGAGGGGTAGGGGGAGGTGGCAGAGGACATAATTCTGACAACTGACTCTGCCGCTTCTTTGTAAAATGTGACTGGACAGACACTGGAGAGCATTTAGATTTATTTAATTTCCCTAGGAAAAAGCTCATCCAAAAACCTCAATACTTTTGTTCGTTTGTTTCTCCAACAAAGAGAGGAGGAGGAGAAATACAAATGGAGTTAAGTTTTAAAAGCTAATTTTGTATTGGCTGGAGAAAACAAACCAAACCAAACCAACTTATAATAGAATCACAGAATGGTCAAGGTGGGAAGGGACTTCTGGAGGACATCTGGTCCAACGCCCTGCTCCAGCAGGGCCACGCAGGACCACGTCCAGATGGGTTTTGAGTACCTCCAAGGATGGAGACTCCACAGCCTCCCCAGGCAATCTGTGCCAGGGCTCGGTCACAGACACAGTGAAAAAGAGTTCCCTGATGTTCAGCTGGAAATCAGCGTTCAAAGGAAAACATGCACAAAGTGTGTGTTTCTGATGAACTATTCCACACGCCAGCTTCGGTCATGTTTTCCAGAAATTATTAAAAGTGTATTTGGAGTTTAAATAGCCACCCAGTGAAGTTATTTTCCATTTGACTCTGTACAGCCTGTGAATAAACACTGCTACCTACTGTAATAACTATCTTGGGACTCTCAGGCAGAGCCACACAGAAACAACAGCCGTTATGCCAATGAAAATAAAGAGTGCGACATACTTACAGCTCTGTAATCCAAGAACATCTCTTTGAAAGCCAGAAAGTCAGTAAACGTGAGAAGCATATCATATATATCACCTGCCATTTCATCTTTGTGTTGTCTACAGAATAGAGAAAAAGTTGGGGAATTAGAAAAGTGTGTGAAAAATAAACTCTTATTATGAAGTCAAAAGGATACCAGGACAGGTAGAACAATCTCAAAAGTTAAACAAGAATGTTATTAAGCTGAACATTTTTGCTTTTGTAAAGCAAAACTTTAGACAAAAATTAACTTGTATTAATTCTGATCCAAGTACATTACTATATTATGTTTATGTAAATCCAAGATGTGAGACTATCACATTAGTCCTTGAAAACCAGACAAAAAAACTGATCTCTAAGTCAACAGAAGTCACACTCAAGTAGCATTTCTCTATTTCTTTATCTTGAGCACTGCAACAGCTACGCAGTCCCTTGGAAGGTGAGAAAAGTTGGGGAGAGGCACAGAATGCTCCCATGGATCATTAACAATGAGGGACTGTACTGACAATACTTGGAAGAGGACTTTGGACAAAAATATTTAGGAAGAAAGATTCTGTGCTTCCATATTGGCACACTTCAACAAGATTTTCTGAACAGTCAAGGGTTGGGTTTTTGGTTGTTTTAGTTTGGTTTTTTTAAACATTTTTTTAATTAGTTATTTCTTATCAAAAGGAGCTTTACCTTAAACAGTCTCTTTTAAGCATACTATGTGTATGCTTAAAACTTCTCAATGTTTTATTAAAAAAAATAAAAGTAAATAGATTCAAATATTGTGAGATATTCAGCTCCCAATTAGACTTCATTTTCTCATTCAAGGGGAAAACAAATGATCTTTCAAAAGTGACCTCTTCATGAAGTTAGCTAAGCTAAAGTGACCAAATGCAAAAGCTTAAGACAAACCAAACTTTTCTCTGAACGCTTTCTACATAAAATTACAGTACAGACATTATTTCACATGAATTTTGAAAGACTACCAGGCTATTTAAATGTCCAACACAGAGCCTGAAAAAGATAAATGAGATCCAACATTTTAAGGGTCTGGCTTTGGAGCGATGATGCAAAAAACAACCAGTGTTCTCCTTCCTAAACCCAACGTATTTCAGCATGACAGTTCAGAAATTTCGAGCAGAAGGACAGGCTGAAGGCAAGAAAAGTGGTCAGTCATTGCCTGCACAAACACTTAAGAAAAAATTAAAGAGGAACATCTTTCTGAAGGGAGAACTGTCAAACCTAAGTTTTAATCTAGATTAAGAGAGTTGATTGAGGAGCACCTAACTCGCCCCCAAACAAAAGCACAGCAGAGACTTACTGCAATGACATGGTGAAAGCAGTCATATTGAAACCAGGAATCCGATCAAGCAATTTTTCTTCAATGTATTTCTCTATCAAAGAGATCTGAAAAACAAACAAACCAACCACCCAAACATCATAACAAATTGCAGGAGCAGATTTCAAAACTGCATTTCCTTACACTGACACCTTACTGACACACGGCATTAGCCTCACTGGGCAAACAACGGCAGATTCCTTAGCTGGGTGTTGCGAGATCAATTATTCACGCCAAGTTTTAGTGGCAGAAGTTTTCAGGTGAAACAAAGAGAAATGAACTTAAAGCTCCAAAAAATATCTTTCTTGCTCAGAGATCACGAAAGAAACAACAGGCAGTATCGCAGGCAGTGTCAGTATGCTCCATGTAAACCCAGTCTTTTCTAAAGAGGGAATGCAGGACCTGACATCAGCCTTTGAAACAGCAAGAAAACAATACGTACAAAAATCAGAAAAAGTATCTTACGTATTCATTAAAAATAGAAGTATAGATGAGCTTGTTTTCTTCTGAGTCATCAAACTCCTGGTAGTGCTTCTCCATAAAAGTCCTCTGTATTAACTGGAAGTCATCATCTGGGCCACAACAAAAACACATCATACAGTTACAAGTTTAGTCATTATTTTTGTAATACAAATGCCACATTCACTGGTCCTCTGCTTCCCCGTTGTAACCACACGTGCAGAATCAGTCACACCAGTACTGCAGCTGCCACCGAGCCACCATTTCTGACCCATCTGTGAGAGGACAGAGGCTGCTGGCAGCGCTACTTCAGTTAAGGGAGCCGAATCAACAGGGCAGCAGCACATCAGTCTGCATTGTGTCAGCAGCTGTGGATTCAGAATTGAACAGGGTGAACACATCCATCTAGTGAGGTCTGTGATTACATCTCCTAAGTTTCATTTACACTTAGTATTAGCAAAAAAGTCCTCCTGCTTTATGTTTTATTAACAAGGTTATTTATTCTGAACCCCTTTTTTCCAGGCTCTCAAGTCAGCAACAGTGAATACCTCTTCCCTACAATAATTCAAAATATTTTATTTTCTTAATTAAAAAATACCAGTGAAACTCCCAGATGTGTTTTCAACTGCCAGTTGTGGAAGAAAACAGAATTAAAACTTAATATGATAGGTCACCACTGAATCCAACAGAAGTGGTACAAAGTTTACTCATACAGAGTGTTAAAATACAAGTCTCAGCTTTCTAAACCCTAACGCATTAAAAATTAGTTTAGGTTGCATTTCTCTGGATTCAACTACATCACCACAAGATTTGCATGGGCCCACCTTATGAAGTACAACAAGGCCAAGTGCAAGCATACCCTGACAAACACGTTAGGAGAGGTGTGGGCAGAGCTGGGGCAGGGAACACTACCTCTCATAATCTCTTCCATCCCCTTTATAAGGATATAAAAACCCCATAAAGCTTTGATCTCTTTGTGAGATTTACAACTATTTATGAAGGACTGTATTGCAGTGGTGAAGAGAATAATTTTCAAGACTGTGCAAACAGTACACAAAAGACCTTTGTGTATATTTTTACTATGCCACCAGGTTAGCAGTCACGCGAGCAAAAAAAGGAGAGCTGCTATGAAGCAGGCAGGGCCATTTTAGCTCTCTATGTCTGCGAACAGAAGAGCAGCTTGCAATATGTTTAGCACCCATCTTGTTGTGTATAACTGCTGGCAGAGCTTACCCATTATAATATCCTCCAGATATCCAATAACGGCATCAAACTCTGCATCAGAAGGGGAAGAGCTGAAAGCAAAGAAAGATACATAAACATACATTTTAAGCACAGCAGAAATACTAGTTAAAAAGGGTTAACAAAAGCCTAAGCACCAATAAGCCCAGTAATTACAAGATAAGTGAAAATCTTCCTAGTTTCAACATACAAAATAATCCATGACACCGATTACAGGACTGCTTCATAGGCTTTCTCATCAGGCCTCTACTGTCTTTTCCCCAGATAGGTTCCTATAAATGTTGTTTCACTGGTGTAACTGTTAAGCCAAGTCCAGTCCTGATGCAGAACGATGTAAAGTGTGTAATTAGATCAGTAAATCAAGCACCTTCCAATCCACAAATCCTGGCTGCTACCACAAGCTTTCCTTCTGCTCTCTTCCCTGCTAGAGCTGCAGGGCAATCACAGAACTCTAGACAAATACTTGGTCTTGTGTACACTTAAACTCAACGTGCACACAAGTATTGTATAACTAGAGAAACTTAAATATTTTTCTTACGCAAGAAACATCCCCAAGTACTACAAATGAATGGCATCATGTTCTGTGGTCATTTGATCATGAGCAAATATTAAACACCCTTATGGATCTGAAGTCATCCAGGGAAGAAACCTCTGGTACCAGCACTTCAGGACTCTGGATCTCCCTGCTAAATTTGTTGTGCAGCTCATTCAGACACATTAGATAATCCACAGGATCTCCTTGGCCTTAGCATTCAGAGCTCATCTTTAGTGGGAGATGAACTCTTCCTACATTTTCCAGCAAATGAAAGACAGGCTTTTCTCACAGGAGGGAAACAAGCCTCATGGGACATTTGTCTTTAAGAGAAAGGTTAGCTTTGACCAGTGAAAGCACCATTTAAATTAAATTAAAATTAAATGTCTATTTCTCTTTCAAATTTCTCTTTAGTAAACAGAGCAGAAGAGTCTTTCAGACTAAGTTTTACAAAACTCATTACAGTTATTTTGTTATTGAATAATAGTTCAGTGAAATTCATTTAACAACAGTTTAACTCTAATGAGGCATTTAGCTCATTCTGACCAGGAAAAGTGAAAAGATATTTGATTTCAAAAGGTTTCTGATCACCAAGTGATGTTCTAGCACTATTTTTGATGGGTGAAGCCTTGGGGGATGAGCAAAAGCACGGCAGGGGCTGAGAAAGTGTCCTCTGCCACCAGAGGGCACAGCAGGGCCGGCAGAGGAGCTGGCACAACACCGGTGAGGCATTAAGTACCATAAACATCGTGCCCTGAACATCACACTTAGGACTTCAGGCTACAGGGCTCATCACTTTCCATTTACGTGCAAAGACAGGAGATTTTGCAATGGATAATTTCCACTTTTTTTTTCCTCCTTTAAAACAGTGTTACTATTGGGTTTATAGCTTATCCTAACAGCCACAGAAAAATTAAAGTATTAATTTAAACCCTAGTTTAAGCTTGTGAGACAAATAATGGAATTTTAGCCATTCCAGAACACTAGTGATTTCATCTCTCTATACAACACACCTGCATCCACACACCTGAAGAAATACACACTCAAAAAATCTTGTGGTTTAAGCCTTTGTCACCTCATCATGTTTAGTCTAGGCCAGCACAACCTGTGTTGCTGAAGAAGCCCAGGTACACAGCCATTTGTGGTAGACTGTAGACTGAGAGAACTAAATCTACCAACCAGAGTGACAGAGGCACATATCCCCTTCTGCCACGAGTATTCAGAGAAGAGGCTGCCAGACAAATGCAGGGGGAAGCAGCGTCTTAGGATTTAGTAGCGTAAAATCTGGTTAAGGCCACCTGTAAAAGGTCTCACACGTTTAGAAGGAGCACATTCAAACACAGAAGAACAGTCTCAGAATCTGTGCTAAAGGAGAGATAAATTTTGAATTTTAAATTAACACAAGCCCCTCAGTTTTCAGTCTTACAGCGTCTACTTTGATCACTCAGGGCTATCTGGTGCTACACTCACTGCCTTCACCTAAAATCTGAACTGATGTTATCCCCCTCCTGTAGCTTTGCATTTTTCCACACCCCTGTTCTCCTAAGAAGCAGAATCTGCTAATCAGTGTGGTGTAAATTCATTCATGTAATTATATTTCTATTAAGATACTTTAACTACTAATTAGCTTATTGAAGACCTGACACAGAATGTAGCATACTCACACGCCTACGCCAAAGTTTTCTTCATCAGAAGTCTCCATCATGACTGCATAACCAGACTGGAGGAGAGGCAATCTGCTATATTTCTGCTGTTAGTGGTTATTTCTTCTTTTCAGACAAAGTACTAAGAAATAACATGTGACTTGGCATTAATACAAATTCAATTGTTAAATTATCATACACTTCTCAAACAGCAAATCAGAATCAGGAGAGAATCTTTTAATTTTTAGACGCAGGAATTTCAAAATCACATTCTTTCAAAGGTACTGCTACTTCTTTTCTGTAATAACAGTTGCTGACCCAGCGCACAGGACAGTGCACACAGCACCCCAGGGCCCCTGAAGATGGGCTGAGCTGGGGACCCTCTGCTCCCACCACTCTTCATGGATTTTAACCAACATTGGCCTTCGGAGCAGCACACCAAGGGTAGGAGCCAGCTCTGTGGCATCACCCCATGGCACAGAAGAAGTAAGCGTGATCCCCACCTCCTCTTTCTCAGTCCTGGCTCCTGGTGAGAGCGAAGCCCCCAGTCATGTCCAGGGGGACCAGGCACCCGACTCACCTCACCCCCTGCTCAAAGGGACCTGACGACCGGATGCCGTCACTGTCCCTCCCCAAAACCCACCCAGGACATCGGCCCTTATCAGTCCTTCCTTCCCGAGGAACGCGGGCGTCGAATCCGTGTCACCTCCCCGCCCCACCCCGCAAAGAGGCCCAGGGTTCCGGCCCTGCCCCGCACCTACCGTCGGTCCCCATCGCAGCGCCCCTGCCGCCGGCCAGGCCGTCTCCCGGGCAACGCTTCCTTCCGCCCTACTCGCAGCCAATCGGAGAGCGGAGGAGGCCGCGGAGGGCCCGCCCACACCCCGAAGGTCCAATGAGAAAGCGCAGGCGGGGCCGAGCGGGAAGGGAGTACCTGCAGCCATGGCGGGTCGCGGGGCCCGAGTTTAGTGTCCAGGCATCAAAGGCTGTCCCAGAGAAAATAAAAAGAAAACCTAGATAACGTGCGTCGTTATGATGCACGCAGCGCCCGTCACCGTTATTAAAGCGAGTTTTCCCCTCAGAGAACTGGAGAACGGCACTCAGAGCCTCAGGCACAGCCCACCCAACCCGCGGGTGTAGTACAGAAGAATGAAAGAACAACAAACAGCCTTCAAGACGCTTTTATTGTTGAACGGACAACTTCGCTACAACTCATTTCCCCTTCTGAGGGCCTGTGGAGCCACCACCTCCCCTCCTTGGCCCCACAGCCTCAGAACCTAGGGGGAAGTACTGCACCGATCATGGAGGATTGACCTTTACGAAGACGCTCCCAGCATGGATTTCAGCAGAAAGCCAGTCGAATTGTAGTCTTTCCCTTTGTGAAATGAACAGGACAGTTCTGTTACACAGCTCCCTCCTCCAGTGCCACTGGCCTCCTCTGCCCAGCACCAGCTGCATGGAAGACGGTCTGGGGCAAAATTTTCCAAAGAACACAGGCACTTAGTCCCATGTCCACAAAGGGAGAAAGGCTCTTCAGTCACCCCCATTTAAATATGAGACCAGACACCTAGAAGTCTTTGTGGACCTGGGCCTTAAGAGCTTAATCTCATACAGCAGTTGATACAAGTCAAGAGTCCTAGGCACTTCTGAAAATTTTACCTCAGTTAATCCTGGCCAGGGAAACCAAAGCCCTGAAGTTACTGGAATCTATTAAGGCAGAGTTCAAAATGGTTCTGTCCCACCTCTTCCCTAAAGTATGGTTTGTATCTTTGTACCTTAGGGATAAAAACCGATCATTGCATTTGGAAGCATTTAAAACTTAAGTGATTCTGAAATTCTAAGATCCTTGTGGCAGTGATGGTGTTCACGTTTGCTCATTCAGCACCAAGCAGGATAGGACTGACCGGCAACATGAATTACAGCAAAACACTGTAAGGTGCAGTCCGTGAGGAAATGAGGTCCTTGTGGCACAGATTTGCCAGTCTGACTTTAATCAAAACAGGCATCCAAGGCAGAAGAGAATCCACATTTTAGTAAAGACTAACCAGCACTCCACTTTTGGATTCAGTGTATTCGGAAAAAAGTCAAACAAGAAAATGATGGACAGAACTTTCCTCATTCACACGTTTTGCTCCAGAGGTTCAATGGAGACACTTTCTTTTTTTTAGTCTCTGGATGAAATTCAGCACCCTTGATGTAGCAAAGGCAGAAGGTGAAAGGAGTTGCTCAAAAGCTTGGTTCTGGGACCTGTGTGCAGAAGCGCTCAGCTCCTGTTTAGGTCAGTAGGAAGCAAGAGTGCTCAGCAG